GCTTAATTCCCTGATTTTGACTCTAAAAATACCAAGCATATACCAAAACCCGTTAAACTATCACTTGAGCTAATTATGAGCCTTATGACACATTTAAGCTAGGAAAACAGATCATAAAGTAATCTCAACATGAATCAAATGCATGTTGAAATACGGACTTATCAATAGAGCAAAAAGAAATAAATTTAAAAGCAATTTTTTTAAATGTGTGTTTATTTAATTCTTGTGCATTGGAAGTGTGATGTAGTGGATCATCTTTTTTGTCAATACTGGACCCACCATTCTGAATAGACCTAGATCACATTTTTGTCACTTCACCTACAATGGAGTAAGAGCATTGGAGATAGTGACTTCACATTAGTCACTTTGCATGAGAAATTGAAATGAAGTAACTTATATCTCCATTCTAGTAAGTGAAATCATGTAACTTATGTGACAAAGAGGTAACTACGTAATACTCCTTATGTCCCGTTGGAAGTTTCTCGTTGGTTTATCTAGTAAATGGCATGATTTCTTAGACAAATGGTTAAATAAAGTAATTTGAGTATATAATAAAAGAGGAAAAAGAAAATTTAGAAAAAATAAACATATAAAGTGAAAGTAATTAAATAGAGTTTAAATAGAGTAAGTTGAGAAGAAGATATTGCGAGACTAGGCATGTAATGAGTTGGAAAGATAAATTTGAGTAAAAATATAATTAAAAAGAATAAATTGTTTTTTGAAATGGAATGAGAACCTTTAAATGAAACATCCAAATAAGAAAATACCAAGCATATACCAAAACCCGTTAAACTATCACTTGAGCTAATTATGAGCCTTATGACACATTTAAGCTAGGAAAACAGATCATAAAGTAATCTCAACATGAATCAAATGCATGTTGAAATACGGACTTATCAATAGAGCAAAAAGAAATAAATTTAAAAGCAATTTTTTTAAATGTGTGTTTATTTAATTCTTGTGCATTGGAAGTGTGATGTAGTGGATCATCTTTTTTGTCAATACTGGACCCACCATTCTGAATAGACCTAGATCACATTTTTGTCACTTCACCTACAATGGAGTAAGAGCATTGGAGATAGTGACTTCACATTAGTCACTTTGCATGAGAAATTGAAATGAAGTAACTTATATCTCCATTCTAGTAAGTGAAATCATGTAACTTATGTGACAAAGAGGTAACTACGTAATACTCCTTATGTCCCGTTGGAAGTTTCTCGTTGGTTTATCTAGTAAATGGCATGATTTCTTAGACAAATGGTTAAATAAAGTAATTTGAGTATATAATAAAAGAGGAAAAAGAAAATTTAGAAAAAATAAACATATAAAGTGAAAGTAATTAAATAGAGTTTAAATAGAGTAAGTTGAGAAGAAGATATTGCGAGACTAGGCATGTAATGAGTTGGAAAGATAAATTTGAGTAAAAATATAATTAAAAAGAATAAATTGTTTTTTGAAATGGAATGAGAACCTTTAAATGAAACATCCAAATAAGAAAATTGGAAACCTTTTGTCACGCTAAGATTGTTCTATTTTTCGTTTTTGAAAAAATCATTAAGATTGTCACATACGGAGTATTTAATTTAGTGAAGTTTGTGTGGCTCTGAATAATTTTTATTTCATTATTACTCATCTATCAATTCAATATCAATCACATAAATTTACTTTTCTTAATAATTGTGTGACCTCCTTATGTCTCAATGTTAGTGGAAAGTAGTAATATTTCAAATGAAGTACCTAACTGTTGGACAATTCAACAACAATATACACGCTTTTTACTTAATTCAAATAATTAAATAATAATATGTTTGTTCATTAATTTTAAAGTAGTAATATATATGAAAAATTTTCATTTATAGAACCTTTTGATAGAAATAATTACATAAATATGACCAAAATAAAGATGATTTACAAAAAATATGACTAATGACTATAGTAGTAATGAAATAATAGTAATTCATGTTCAAGTTTTGAGCTTAATTACCACAACACCACATTGTACTAATGATTAATCATATTTATGTAAATATTTTTTATTTTAATAATATTCTTGTAAAAAACCCCTTTTGATAACCTTTATCTTTAAAGTTATGTTTTGTCGTAATAATCAAATTAAATTGTATAAAGAGTTCTACTCTGATGCAGACAAAAAAAATTGTTTATTTACTGTTCAAATTTTCGATATACTCTGCTTAGTTTTTATTTGTAAAATTAGAACATACAAAATATTTAAACGGGTCGATCAAAAACGTCCAATTTATATAGAATAAGTATATGGCATAGCTAAATAGTGCTGATTAGCTTAGTTGGTTCAATGGAAAATTTGAAACAATGATCAAAGTTTGAAATTCGTAATGACCGTGTGGAGCTTACAACTTCTGCGTGTTCGACTTGACCTCTGGATCGACTGAGTCACCGTGATTTACATCTTCCCAAAATCCTGTCATATCGGGGTATGAGGCTCCTGAGGTGGGAGATTCCAATTATTGGAACAACGTAACATTTATTTTTGTAACGTAGAGCAACTCCAATGCAAGGGTTTGGGTCTCTTACACACCCTTATGCATGGGTTCCATTTTTTTCTCACAATTTTTATGTGTAGGTCCCACGTATTCTTAATTTATTTTCATTTTTCATTTTTTTATATCACTTTTAACCCACTTTTCATCAACTTTTCCTCCTTGAATCCCGTGTAAGGTCCATATATGCACCTTGTCAAGTTGTCATAGACATTGGTCCATTTTTACCTCTATCTTTCTCCTCTTTTTCATTTTTCCCTACACACCACTTCATCCAAATATTTGTTCTATCTCTATCTTCCTCCTATGCCACATCATGTGCAATGCACCCTCCCATTAGAGATGCTCTTAGAGCATCTCTAATGCTACAATGTGCACGGTGTACATGTGCCATGAGAGATATAGACACAAAAATTTAAATTTATGACATTTCTCTCTCCTTCTTTTCACTGTTTTGTGTGGTTTTGGTAAATTTTTCTCAACAATGTCAACCACAATGTCTACATCTAGACGTTGTGTTTGACATTGTAGAGAAAAACTTACCAAAACATATAAGATCGTTCAAATAAGGAGAGAAATTATATTTGTTACTCCCTCCGTCCCGGAATTATCTTCATTCTTTCCTTTTCGGTCCGTCCCAAATTTATCTCTTTTTTCCTTTTTGGTAAAGAATATGTGGTTCACAACCATTCTTACACATTTCTCTCTCCTCTGCATAACTCTCCACCACACAAATCCCACTATCTTAAAACTCGTGCCCGGTCAAAACCGGAGTTAAATATGGGACGGAGGAAGTATTTTTTAATTGACTATCCACGTGTCACGTATGCATCATTCACATTTTTGCATTGAAGATATCGGATGTATATTAAAAAAAACTATAATGGTGAGAGAAAGTCATCGATCTTATCTTCTCGCTAATGTGTTACGTCAATGCCAACTCACACTGAGAAGAAAGAATCCGTTCCCCGAATATTCTCATAACTTCACCCACCCACCTAAGAGAACGAAAGCGAAAAACAGCAAAATTGTCCCAAGATTCGCTTCGTACGCGACGCCCCGACCCCTACCCACTCTCATGAATCTCATCCACTTTCCTTAAATATACCCATCTTTTTGTAGAAATAGGTTTATTAATTCTTAATGTATTTATGCTTATTTAAAAATGTTGTTACTCAAATTGGTTTTAATTCCATGTCAAATCAAATCAGTTCATAATTAATTGAATCATACAAGGATTTTGATAATCCATTCCAATTAGAAGTATTTTAATTTTAATTAATTATAAGAATGTGTTATATTGATCCCAGAACTTTTTTTTATCAATTTAAATTTTTATATTTTCACGTATTCCTTGAATATCTATATCTAGTCCTGAATAACCAAAAGTGATGAATTAATTCGTGAAATTATAATTTATAATTATATTAATTTAGCGGGGTATATTAGCATAATGGATAAAAGGTCTTTGATAGAGTATTTTTTATATTATCTATATGAGTAAGTTAGAAAAATATAAATTTAGTCGAATTTTAAAATGTACTGCGCAATAAAGTATCATAATGTCTAGCTGGGATTGAGATCCTCTGCCGTGCGGCAGAGGTGCCTTGTGGCATCGGACGGACGGAAGAGGAAACAAGCGTCTCGAGATGCGGTGCTTCAAGATCTGTGATCGTTGGTTTGTTGATCGGACGGCTCCCTAAAACTGGGCACCCGACCTTGCGGCAAAGCAAGGTAGAGGTTCTGGATCCGTCTAGCTGATAGCTATCCGGATAACTTTTATTAAAACAATGCTTGAATATGTGAATATATACTCCCTCCGTCCCGTTGGAATGTTCCCGGTTTGACCTATAGACATATTAAAGAAATAATTGATAACTTTCCATTTAGGGAAATGGGAACTGTCCAACGGGACATCCAAAAAAGGAAAGCGGGAACATTCCAACGGGACGGAGGGAGTATGTGATACTCCTTAGTTTTACAAAAAAAAATGATGCACGTTTGAAAATATTTGAGGGCTCGTTTGAAAAAAAAATACTCCTTAGTTATACTGATATATTGAGGACGGTTTCTTCTACAATATTGCAATTACAAATTTGATACTCGTTTGAAAATATTTATTTTAGTTATTACGGAGGAATAATACATAGTAATGTTGAAAAATAATTAAAATTAAGAACTATAAAAATATTGAACTTTACAAATAACAAATACTCCCTCCGTCCCGCTAACAATGGAACAAGAGGAAATGACACACAAATTAATAAAAAGTGGTTTATGTGGTTGATATTAAATTTATAAAGTAAGAATGATTTATAGTCACACAAACTTTACCAAATTCGGTATGAAACAATATTAATGAGACGAACCGATAAGATAAAATGGAACAATCATAACTGACGTAGTATATCAAAACTCACATCATATCACTAGAATAAGAAAGATGCCATAGCCCATAGTAACAAAAACTAACCAGAAAATGGCCACCTCAAGAGTCCCATTAATTACACTAATAATTCATGAATGACAATTACCACACTGAATCTCACCATATATACTTCAATACAACAAATTAGATGAACTCACCAATACAAAGGAAGTAGACATCTCTGAACATTCATATTTCCAGTATTACCCATTATATACCTTCAACCCTCACTGCATTAATTCTGCATAGATCTCAAACTATCTGTGATCATTCATTCATTCAATCAGAAATAACAATTAATTAAAGGCTGCAGTAAACATATCAATCTGTCTTCAATTCATCATCCGCCGCGCGCGCGCCGGCCATGGTATTCAATCACGATGACAGCAAAGCCCGGCGGTGCCGGGAGTACGTCGACGCTCTGGAGGATGAACGCCGGAAGATTGAAGTCTTCCGCCGGGAGCTCCCTCTCTGTTTCCACCTGGTCACTCAAGGTATACATGGACATTTAATTTCCCGAGTTCATTCATAACCGAAATTAAAATAACGTAAAAACTAATTCAAGCACTCATTAAACGAACGAAATTGAGCAATCGGTGGATGAATGTATTGTTTTCCGGACGGATTTTGATAGATTTTGCGTTTTTTGGTGCAGCGATTGAGGCCTACAAGCAGCAGATGTCGGGGAGGACGACGTCGGAGTTTTATCTGAACGGCGAATCGGAGTCCTCCGAGCCGTTGTCTAGCGGCGGTCCGGTTTTCGAAGAATTTATTCCGATTAAGAAGCGGACAGAGGAGGACGAAAATGAAATGGAAGATATGAAACGGCAATCTCGGGAATTAAATACAGACAACGATGATAACAATAATAATTCTTTTGATAATAAAGGCGAGTTCAGTGTTAGCAGTAATAATAATTCGAATAAATCGGACTGGCTTAGATCTGCTCATCTGTGGAGTTCATCCCCATATCCAGCTCCCAAACAGGTAATTCGATCGTAGACTGTTTTGTTCAATTTTCATTCAATCATTATAAAGAGCTCTCGATCATAATTTATTTTGTTAAGGAATTGAAATGGATTGTGCAGGAATCTGTTAGGAAGGCGGCGTTGACGGAGGTGAATAGAAATGGGAGCGGCGGAGCATTTCATCCATTTCAAAGAGAGAGAAGCGGTGTTGCAGCCGAAGTGAAATTGGACACGGCGGCAGCTACCAGCTCCACCTCCGGAACACGCGTGAGGAATGGCGGTGGAACTAAGCAGAGGCGTTGTTGGTCGCCGGAGTTGCATAGGCGGTTCTTGCAAGCCCTTCAGCAAATTGGTGGTTCACACGGTAATTAAGTTGCTAACAGATTATTATGTAATGTAGACACACACGTTAAGGATGATCGATGGTGGTTCACATGTTTTTAATGATGTCAGTCTCATTAAAACTAGAATTAAACTGACCACAGGAGACCAAAACATCATGGTAATAACAAAAAATTTAACAACAAAATATACTCTTTCTATGTATCACTTCATATAACTTGGTTTATTTTCATTTCCTGATTGCCTAGAAATCTCAGCCACTTTATTCAAGCACTCATTAAACGAACGAAATTGAGCAATCGGTGGATGAATGTATTATTTTCATTTTAATTATATCTCCTCAAGGAAAACAACTTCAATCATTAATTCTTTACTTTATAATTTATCCAAATTATTTATCCAAGGGAAGTGGAATGTATGAGGGCAATTCATATGAGGCCGGTCTGACGGGATTCGCCGGCCAAGGCCATTTTCGCCCTTTCTGGTGGAAATTTCGATTAATTTATTTGAGCATGTTCTTCATAAAGTATACTTTATGTCCACCAAATTTCAGCTAAAAATTCAATCGGAAAGTCAGTGGAATTGAAAAACACTGTGTTGTTTATATATAATGCGCAATGTTTGTAGATAATCTATATAATTGTCTTTCTGATTGAATTTTATGTTTGAAATTTGGTGGTTATAAACTACTTAAAAACATGCTCAAAAATATTTCATAAAAAAAAACAACCATTCTTGATGTACACACTCTTGTACACACCTTATACACACCATGTTTGTGAAGCTTTTTTTTTTGTCTGTGAATCCCGTTCACAGACAATATTTTGTTTGTGCAAAACATTGTCTGTGAATCGATGTTCACAGACAAAAAAAAAGCTTTCACAGACATAGGTGTGTACAAAAGTGTGTATAAGAGTGTTCAAACATCATTTTTGAAAAAAAAAACACCGTGAAAGGTCCCAAATGGCTTTGACCGAACGGCGAATCCTATCAGACCGACCTGACAGGATCGCTTGTCTAGAATGTGGAGTATATAATTAACTTTAAGTATTACTCCGTACTAGTCAGGTTAATTATTTTTTTATTTTAAATTTTCTTTTCTTTTTATTCTCCATTTTTCTTCTTCAGTCTTTTCCCCTTTTCGCCATATTAGAATTCAATTACTTTTTCTTCCCCTTTGACCCTATCTTTACACAGCGCTACTCGTTATTATTTCAATTTTTCTTTTCTTTTTCTTCTTCTTTTCCCCCTTTCAGTGTGTTAGTGATTTGCGGCTTGTTATTCTAGGCTTCTTCTTATTTTTCTTCCATTTTTGACTAATCTCCCGCCCTTTCCTTGTAAAAAGTAAATGTAAATTTCTCTTTTTCTTTTATTATTTTACTTCTCCTTGATTGTTTTATTTTTCTTTATATTTCACCCCCTAATTTTTATCACAAATTTTTTTAAGGTAACAAGAAGAAGGGGGGGGGGGGGGGGGGGGGGGGGTAAGGGGGTTTGATCAAAAAAAAAAAGAAAAATTGATAATAATAATCTAAACTGTTGAGGGTCTTCTCATAATAATCTCAACGGTAGAGATCTTCCGCCAATAATAGTCCAAAGTCAATCAAATTAATAAACAAATATCAAACTATAATAATCGGAACTATCATCTATCGATTTCTGTTGGACACAAAACATAAATTAATACTTCTATAAATAAATAGAAAGGGTAAAAAGATTGTAAAAATTAATTTTTACATAATTAAACTTTTAGGTAGTTTGTGGAATTAAAGAATATTAAATATATAATTATAGAATATGGAAAATTTTATATAAATTTCAAAAAGAAATTATAACATGTAAGGTGTTATAAATATATAGTGAATATAAAATATATAATGAAGTAGAGTGAAAACGTCAATATGAAAACCTTATTTTGAGAGTACAATAAATTCCAAAACATGGGTCGGACTATAAAGTTGATTATTCTGATAATATATTCTGAAAAGATTGATGAAAGATGGAACTTTTGCAATCAATTTTCTAAATATATATGCAAGTGATATATATAGGAAATATATATAGAGGGTGGGATCACATACAAACTAGTCCTCCCATGCTAACCTATGAATTTTCACAAATTGTGCATCTTTACATTATTTGTATTGCATATTGAAGTTCAAAGTGTTGCATATTATTTGTATTGCATATTGAAGTTCAAAGTGTTGCATATTATTTGTATTGCATATTAAAGTTCACCGTGTGCATCTTTACATTATTTGTATTGCATATTGAAGTTCAAAGTGTTGGATATTATTGAGTTTGTAGGTTAGTATTTTAAACATGATTTGTAGATCTTTTATCTATATATAGATATAGATATATAACCCTTGCTATAAATATATATAACCCTTATCTCGCAATTAAGTTCTTGTTTTGATTTCACGTGTCAAACTTTGTTAAACTAAACTATAAGAGACTGTTCTAAATAGAAATAAAAATGTTTGTTAATTGTAAAATAGAATTGTCTTGATAATAATTACTCTTATTCAACGAATAAATCACTTTTTTTACAATTCCAAAACATTTAACTCCTATGACGGTCTTTCCCTAAACTTTAACAGAGTAGTTGTTTTAAAATCATATCACATCAGTCACAATTAAGGTTGCAGTTTTCCTTCTAATTTGTTGTCACTTTTTTCTTAAAATAACTAATTTGTAGTTGATGCTCCATATAATATACTCCGTATATTTCATGTGTGTGATATACAATTTTACTTTCTTATTCAGTTATTATAAATGTCAATCAAAATTAGCATTTTTTAACAAATGGATGGATTATTAGTGCAAAACAGATAAAAATATTACTAGTAATTTTTTATAATTTGTTCATCACTATACTTTAAAATTGTTGGAAAGAAGTCAGCGTAAAATTTTTGCACGGCAACAATGATACCGATGGTTGTGGCATCCGCAATAATTGTAAATCGATTGAGATATTTGTGATTTTCCAAATTCATTTCAATGTTGCGCTTTTGTCTATATAAGTATATGAGTATTCACTTTTTGGAATTGAATTTCAATTTAGTACTAGATAGAAGTGCATTGTGACTTTTTGGAATTGAATTGCAATTTAGTACTACAATCGTAGTAATATTTATGGAAAATTCCGTTATTTGTCCATAACATAGAAGTGCAGTGTGACTTTTTTTAATGCATATATTTGTATTGTATTGTTGAAATGTTAACTTATTATAAATTTTATTATAGGTTTTAGAGAAAAGGGTCAAATCATAGTCACATGGTTCGCGGTACGATACGGGAACGCGATTCGCTAGATCTGGCGTATCCGATTCAGAGGGGTGGGTTCATTTCGGTACGCGTTTGGTACGATGTACCAAATGTTTGGTACGTTGTACCTAATATTTTGGTACTATAATAAAAATATAAATCTGATTTATAGAATACAGATTTCAACATTGAACAAAAACGGATAATGGTGGCAGGGGGGCGTGGGGTAGATAATGCAGCAGAGGCAGACCCAAACACCATTTTGAAACAAGAAACAATAAATTCTTTTGGAGAGTTATGTGTATAAAGAAAGACGGCTAAGAGTGCTAAGAGTAGTTGGCGTATGAAGCAGATCATTTTGCCTCAATTTATAACAGTTATTAGAGAGTAAAATTGATTAATGGGATCAGAAAACTAAGAGTCTAGGAGTCTGGTTCGAAAATCAAAATACGTACTCTGGAAATCTGTGCGACGAAGGGAAGTGAAACGAAACACAAAGTCGCAAACTAAGATTCGTAGTTTTGAAGCTGTGCGACGAAGGGAAGTGACGGTTGAAATCTGGGAAACTATCTGAAACAACGTTTTGAAGCTTTGCGACCAAGGGAAACGGCGACTTAATTCGCTTCCACCATCGATTGGGATCGATTTCAAGATCGATTAAGAACGACTCTGAACAGCGATGTGTACGACTCCAAGACTGTACCGCATATCGTTCCGGCAATCGACCGGATCGTTTTCGTACCACGATTCGGTACGGAACGATCGGTACGGAGTTCGCGGTAGTTCTAGCGATTTATGTTTCTATGGGTCAAATAATCGCTTCTACTATTTTCAATCCATCACTTAAGCTCGTGTACTATGAAAAGTATTATATAAGTAAGTTTAGTTTAAAAAATGAATTAATTCCAAATATATAATCAAAATAAAAGTAGTGGACAAAAATGTGACTCTTGTAACTTTAGTGATCATAATTGTAATTAAATGCTACATCATACACATAGTAACTTATAGTCATATTTTAATTATTTATTAGTAATATTTTAATAAAAACTCTTATTCCATTTTTGACCCGAATTAACTGTTTTTTTATATTACAAAACACAAAAAATTGTTAAAATCTGAATATATATATATATGTATGTGTGTATGTATGTATGTATGTATGTATGTATGTATGTATGTATGTATGTATGTATGTATGTATGTATGTATGTATGTCTATATATATATATATATTGCGAAAATTTAAAGAATGTCAAAGTCAATATTTTTGAATTTCTGAAATTATTGTATATTCTACATCTATTTAAAAGGGTGTTACATTTTATATTTATATTTTCTACATTTTCACTTTATTCTTTCATTTTTCAAATTTTTCATTTTTTTATTTTAACGGTTTTATATTGTTTATTTATGTATCTTTACATTTGTGCTATTTTTTATATTATTATTACATTATTTTTTCGAATTCATATGAATTTTTATAAGATTTATGAATAGTCCTAAATTATTTTTAAAAAAATAACCTGCTATAGCTAGTCAAAATGACTTGACTGATTCTAATTAAAAAGTAAACGCACTTATATGATGTTTATTTTAGTAAAAAGGCTTAAGTGATAGATTGAAAATAATAGAAGGGTCTATTTGACCCTTTTCTCTAGATTTTATAACTGTATAAATTTATTTTATATAATAAAAGTCGAATATCAACTTTGAAGGGGTCAAATTTAATTTGAACTTAATTCGGGACAGATATATATATATATACATTAAGTACTCCCATGTAATATAGGTTTATTGGATTATCTCATTTTTTCCATTGAAATTGTAAATACTTGTTTGGAATATTTTTAGATCAACCTTTTTGAATAGAATTCGGACTAGTTCACCATCCCTTATATGATTTTGCAGTTGCCACTCCTAAACAAATTAGGGAACTGATGAAGGTTGATGGACTTACAAATGATGAAGTTAAAAGCCATTTACAGGTTTGTATGCACAATTTTAGTACTTCTACTACAACTTTCTGTTACTTGCTCCGCCAATTTACTTCACCAGTCTCATGATGTCATTCTCTAATGCTTTTGAGAGTTCAATGCACCAAAACACCAAATCCCTGTGATATAGAAATTCGGCACACTAGCCCATGTGATTAAAAAAGTGCGTCAAATTCTTTTGTGTTATAATTAATCATGCACAGAATTCTTTTTATGAATAATCAGAATGAGAATGGGTATTGAGAAGGAAGAGAGGAGGAAGAGGAAGAAGAAATGAAAGTGAAAGGGGTCTGTGCAAATAGTTTCATTTTTTCATAACTTAAACCATCCTCTCTTTAACTGCAGCATAAAAGTGCGAGTACATTTGACTTGATGTAATTTTTACTTTGGGCAGTATAAACTAACCCATTAGTTCATACAAGATACAGAGAAGATTCTATAATCTAATAAATCGTAACTCTTTATGTGCCAAATTAATCATCATTTTGGTTCAAAATCAACATCATCTCAATATATCTCTCTCCTTGTTTTACAAAGTATAAACTAATTTAAACATGACAGTATTTTCCAAGTTTGATACGTAATAGTTATTTTACTCATATTTGAAGAATAAAGACAGCTCTCCCATTTGAAATTGCAAAACGTTTTTACTCATATTTTGGAGATTTTTCTGATTATTTAAATAGCGTTCTATTTATTAAATAGAAGTGTGTACGTTGTTTTTAATCCCATAATAATAACATATTGTCAAGCACTTGGTAAACTTCAATATTTCCCTGAAAATGTTACTGCAGAAATATCGGTTGCATACAAGAAGGCCAAGTACAATGTCTACCCACAACAACAACCATCAACAGCAAGCACCACAGTTCCTGGTGGTGGGAGGGGTTTGGGTGCCTCCGTCCAAACAAGCCGGAACAGCGGCGGATTCCGCGGAAGCCACCAATGCCTCCCAACTAGTTGCCTCTCAAAATCCATTGACTTCGTTCAAAATGTCGTGCTCCCAGGACAGATGCAGTCAGAGCAAGGACCAAGCACCCTCCAACTCTCCGACCACGTCCTCCTCCACTCACACCACCACGGCATCAACTGCCTATTGACTCCGAACATTTTGTTTCTCAGAGACTAACAGAGATGAGTAGATATTTTTGTAGCCAAGCTATATCATCTTGTATATTTTGTCTCACTAGTCCTTGCCTTTCTAATGACTAATACGGAGTATGAGGTATATCACATTACCTATAACTTAACTGCATAACACTAAAATTTAAATCAGTATATAAATTACATGGCTATGAGCTGGAAAGGTCATGGTCTTGAATGTACGGTTATGGTCAAGGCCCATTTGCCCACAAACCAAACCTTTAGGCTTTATTGGGGAGTTGGGACTTGGGAGGGAATGCTTTCAGGGGAGAGTAAGGGAGACTGGGGGATGGAAAGAAACCTCTTGTCTTTTTCAGATGTTACATTGGATTCATCTGTTTGACTCATCATTTATAAAATGTATATTTTTCATTTCATTCATATGTTTTGATTCAGTGGTTCACCTCAACACTTATGTATGGTTTTTGGTATTCTAATTTGTGTTATGTATATCTATAATCTTTTTCCCTTTTGATTTTATATTTACCTTGTATTTTTCTGTTTCTTTTTATTTACTACCTCCTTCCCGTTGGACTTTGTCAAGTGCAAAGTAGGTGAGAAAAAAAATAGTAAAAACTGTATTGTTGATATTTGTGCAAAGGAGAGAGAAATGTGCAGAAACAAAAATTATTTGCTTTAATAGGAAAGTGGCAAAGTTCTTTGGGACAACACAAAAAGAAAAATTGACAAAGTCCAATGAAACGGTAGGAGTAATATTTAATTTTTTCTTTGTTATTTTTATTTTTACAAGCTTTAAACTTTTCATTTTTAAATTTACTTATAATTTATTTTGAGCTGTTTTTAATGTTAAGATTTTGTTCATTTTTTATCTTTTTTTATTTCAATTTTTTCTATGTTGTGTTTTTCAAAGTAACACTAGAAGTAAATATGCAAGGGAGCCTGAGCTGTTATTTAACATTACTTTTTTATAACTTTTAAGAAGCACTCAATTTGAAGAACTTAAAAATAAGCCTGGGAGGGGTTTGAAAATTTAAAAACCCCAAGTCCCCAACGAAGCCATTCTTTCCAATTTCAAAAACATTTAAATACAAAAGGAAGAGGGTTATAAACCTCCGTCCCCCAACGACATTTTTAGTAAATTATTTTGTAGATCAGTTGTATACAATTTCAAAAACGTTTAAATGTATCTTTATTTTGTAGATCAGTTGTATACAAAATGAACTTGGTAAATTAGTTTCTGCAAGTGCGTCAGATGGAAAGCATAAAATAAGTGTTTACTCATGTATGAGTAGTGAGTAACCGAGTACATATGTAATATGTTTAGAAGTAGATATTTGAGACTTGAGAGCATACACTGGGACAAATTAAATAGCATTTCGTAGTGTAGGATTTGAAGAAGTGTAGGCTGTGTAGAGAGGTTCACTTAACCCTGTCTCATTACATGGATTGACAACACAGCCCAAATTTTCACTATATAAATAAGAAAAAAGAAATGATGTCCAACTGTAGGCCCTGCCCTATTCTCTGTGATAGAAGGTTAGGTGACCCCAAAAAGTGGAGTGAGAAAACAAAATGAACTTATAAGTAGTTCAAGCCCAAAACTTTTGGGTGTACATAACACTTGTACAAGCTAGCTATTAAAATAAATATGATGGCCATTCTTAGTCAATCGGTGAAAGGAAGGACTGAATGCCAAAAACAATGAACAGAAGCCCACCAGCAAGTGCTAACTGCATATATACCAGAAGAACTTTGATGTCATGAATAAACGTATAAGAGATGTATGTGTGTATCAAAGAAAAAATGTTGAACTATTTGTGGAATCCCCAAAGTTTTAAGAAACCCACAATTCATATCCCTCGGGCTTGGACTATTTGTGGAACTATTTTTATGATCCGGCCATTGTTAGTCCCTGTTATGAGAGAAATTGTGTTGAGTGCCTGGGGTTTAATGAATATATACCTTTTCACCCCTGGGTTCATCTCTCACATGCATTTGTTGTTATTCTTTGTGAAGTGTATTTAAAACCTTGTTTAACGTATAGAACTATACGAAGTTCAAGCAGTAATAAAAAGATACCACAAGGGCATTTAAATAGGGTTGTCACAAACTTCGGAATTAAGTTTGACAACCATGGGGGCACAAGACTAATTCACTCTTTAAGGAGACAAATGTCAGATGCATTAGATGGTTGTCAAACTTCGAGGGCACGATTGTAGAGATATCCAAACACTCAGGGCTCAAATTCATACATTCAAACAGAAGATAAGTTTCTTACCACTCTCTCAGATATCTGAGCTGCCAAGCTCTTTCCCCCCAATACGGCAGCAGTAGTGCATAGAGTTTGTCCACTAACAATATCAAATCCACATAAAATTTACATCAAGATTGTGGGACTAACTTTATTTCCGGATGTGGAGAGAATGCAGAAGGAATGGCTACATTTTGATAAATATATACCAAGCTACAACTTTCAGATCTGATAAGGTAAAGTTGTTTCAAATTATTAATACTATTTTTATCATTTTAAAATGTATCTACTGGTTTAACTAAATCAGTAAGACTCATAGTAACTTCATAGAGAGTATCTTTGGAAATTAGTGAAAATTAACATTGTTTGTTGAAACTTTCACTCTTTTTTTAATCAATAATATTAATAATAATAAAACAACAAAAACAACAATAATAATAGACTCTTTTTTAGACGGAGGGGTAATATTGTTCTAATCTTGAAGGTAGCACATGAAACACTTAAAGTTTTGTTTCTTAACATTATGGTTCTTTACTACATAGAAAGGGAACAAAACTATCATTTACATTCTAATATTCAATTAATAATGTTTTAGATTCACTATATCCGCATGTCTTAAAATTCATTCATGTAGTAGTACCAAGAATAAATGTGTAAAGACGAATAACTTACAGTATTCCTCCAAGAACAACTCCTAATGGGTTCTCATCAGCGGCAAGACCAATGGTGGCAATCTGAAAAGGCACTTGCATCTTTGAAGTTGCAATCTGCAAACATTACTGAAGAATGCAGCTATATAAAGAGGTGCACAACATGGCATACCTGGCTCTTGTCGCCCCATTCCCCAAAAAAGGTAATTGAAAATGCCTGCAGAATCAAGACGTGAAGCATGTGTCATTCACAGACGGACTCTGTTGAAATATGCAAAAATCTTTGTGAGCATAAAACTCCCCCGCCCCCCTTTAATTCTCCCATTTTTCCATTTGTGGATGTCCCTCTATTATTGTCCCATACTATATTTGGTAACATTTGTGTAGCCCTAATTGATTCTTACTTTATTCTCCCACTTTATCAACTCATTATCAACCACATAATTCTATTTTTCTTAAAAACCACACCACTCTCTTCCATCCCAATATTAGGGGGGCGGAGGTAGTAAGTAATAACCTTTAAAAGAATCGGCGAAAAAAATTGAGTGAGAACTGGCCTCCTCTGCTTTTTCAAATCTTCAGAACCCTACAAGAAGCACAAACTCTTCATGTGCAATAAAAGCAGTCAACCTAGAAAAATAGGATCTCTATTAATGCCACTGCAAAATTAATCTGATAGTGACTACCATTAAACACGCTTCAAATAAAAACAAACAAACATGTATTGTACATCAAATACCAACTGAACTTAAGATATAAAGGTAATGACTGAGCAAACCACATGGCCCATGTCCTCAGTACAATTTGAATCGGTATATCAGGAAGAAAGTTCTTATCAGTCAAATAAACTATGGGTGCCATACTGAGCCAAATCATGATTTAGCGAACTCAAAAAGAAAGGTTTGATTTTGTTATTGCACGTGGAATATATTAATAGACGTGGATCTTCTTGGAAGAATTGGACAGAAAACCACAACAACACAAAGACAAAACATAGGGCAAAAGTTAAAAAGTGGGCATGACAGATCAAAATCTAATGCATTAGTGCACTCACTTTAAAGTTCAAACTTATTATTTTCTAGCAAATTCAATATAAGCAGGGATGCATGAATCATGATATAAGAAGACAAGCAATAGCAGATTCGCAAAGAGATGGAAAGAAAAATATGGGAAAACAATAGCAGATAAAAGAAAACGGTTGAATAGAGCATGAGGGATCAAGAAATAATGGACACATGACCAAAAGAAAAGTGAGGCTTCCATTAAGAAGAATTTGCACTTAAGCAATGAATGCGTTCATATGCAACCAATTTAGCACGCAATTGCTAAAATATTACAGATGACATTGGGGTAGGTAGCAGTGTAGCACCACCTTGAACTTTTTATATCTTTGTCTTTTCATTTTCTATTATTTTTAAGTGGATTGCAATTACAAGTGAAAGGATGCTAGTTACTACACAGAAATAAAGTAATTTTAGTTTACCTTTTTGTTCTTATCCTTTTCTTTGGCCGCTCCATAGCTAGCACTGATATCAGCATCCTATACACAGAATAGTTAGAGATATGGATCCGCCTGTATAGAAAGTTGTTAGATGGAAAATACAAACCAGTTCCGCTTCAACTTCAGCCAATTCTTCAGAAACCCTGTTTGTGAACGTGATGAGATTTCAATTGGCAATTACATTTCATCCGTAAAAGATGTTGAAAAATGAAATAACAGAAGAAAGAATTAACAGAGTCCAGGGAACTGTTACCCCTCACTAATGGCATCCCATAATGACCATAGCCCAAACCCAAAGAACAATAAAGTTGTAATATGGTGAGTCCATTTCCGAGAGATCTGCAATGCAATATGGATTGTTCTATAAATGGTTAGTTACACCAGAAGAGAGAAAGTAATGACTCAAAGAGATCAAAAGATGCTCTAGCACTACCGCATCTCTTCCTAAATGAATACAAATGGCTGGTAAAGCATTAGAACTAACAGACATACATTTAACGTTCCATAATATAAATGGTTAGTTTAACATTAGAACTAACAAATGGCTGGTAAAGTGTCACTATAGCAGCACTACCACAATATATCTTTTATAGGAGTACATAGAAAGATTACCAAATTGGGAGCAGCCCAGCCAACAACGGCAGATAGAATTGTCATCACCTACAAAAAGGTTAGATTTCTCTTATGATAGTATATGCTGAAAAATATAGTACAGGGTAGTCAGTGCACAAAAATGAATTGAAATGAACAAAGAAAACACTTACAATTAGTGCTGAAAGACAACCTGCCAAGACGAGTCTCCTTGGATGACGCATTGCCAGTACCTAGAAGATAAAAGTATTCATAAACAAGCAGCGTTGCAATATGTTCTCAAAAACTAGGATACTCTTTATATTAAAAGCTCAAATTTTAGTTAAATAATTTTGAATTTATAACAAAGTCAGAAAAGATAAGTTCATATATATTGTAGGACCATTTCGCTATATAAGGGGAATCAGACAAAAAATGGGAATGAAAAGTTGTGGATTTGCTATGAGTTCTTGCGAGAGGCTGCAGTCTATTTGGAAACGGGACAGGAGTGGGAATTAATTACTCCTTATAATTGGCATGCACAGGTGTGAGAAATCTCCCAGGTTCACAACAGTATGGACTATGGAGGTTGTTTTATCACACTTATATGTAGCCTTCCCTTTTCATGTGTAGAGAGGTTGTTTCCGGATTCAAACCCAGATCGACATTATCATTGCCACACAGGTTAGCCCTCAATCAACTACTCGATGGCCTTGTTTGGTAAATACGTAGTAACATTTTGACAAAAAATTAGCAGTTTTGACTTATTAGCATTTAAACACAGCCATAACACTGTAGCAAGGGTGATCAAACTTTGGCAAACCGAGAAAACCAAACCAAAAATCCGGCCAAATACCAAACCAACATTTTGGTTTGATAATACTATACTCCGTAATATGTATGTTATTTTCCAAAATTAGGTATCTGCTTAGGTATGCTTTTTTATCTCTTTGATTCGGCATTTACCGAACACCGATTTAAGCAAACCCCATCCCACAGCTCCCAGGATGAAAAAAATCCAAACAACAAGAAATGGTGCACTTTCACTGGAGGCGGCTTAGAGCACAATGTCATTTTTAAGTATGGAGATGTGGACTTTTGCAATGGACTCAGTGACAGAAATCACAATTAATTACAATACTGGCACTGCAATTTTTCTTTTAACTTTTCAGGACTTTATGTTTGGGTTTTCCCCAAAATACTACTAAAATGATACTCAAGGACTCAAACGTAACCAAATGTTCACTTCTGAAACCACTTCGGTCACTGCACCGGTCAAATATATTTGTCATTACTTCTTTTATATTAGATCAAATATATATTCGTCATTACTTCTTTTTTATATTTAATAATCAAATAGATGTAGGTATTCACAGATATATGGACACACACAACACACATATAAATTCAATAATGCAATGGTTTATACTTTTATCACATATCTGTGTAGCCATGTAGATGTTTATTTATATATAGCAATAATATTATGTATACTAGATTACAAGTCTGTACATGCAATAAGTCAATAATATACAGAAAATCACTTTGGCACTAGAAAATTACAAACCTTGCCAAAACATTTTTGGTATTGACCAAAACAGAGTAAACAATTTTGGTTCTGTATTTCGTTCAAGTTAGACTACTGAAACTTAGAGTCAGTATGGTTTTACTGTTTCACCAAATGAGTGCTCCTACACTTTGATGAATGTTCTGTAAATGGCTTTTTGCCTCCAAGCTTTGATGAATGATTGCTACAAGCATCATTCAATAGTTAGTTTTTTTAAAATTTAAAATTTACAAATATCCTTAATTCTAATTATTAATAAATAAATAAATAAATAAATAAATAAATAAAACAAATCAATATTCTTGATAAACTATTTGAAGGTGACTATTCATGTTCATAGTTTGTATTCCTATTGCTTTCTTTGTATTTCATTTTAATTAATGTCTACATACATTAATGTTGATATTTTTAAATAATGAATCATTACTTATGAAAAAATTATACATGAAATGTATTCAAATATTGTTAATAAAAGCATGAAATGTGAACTTACTAGTTATATTTTTTAAATGCATGAATTATTTGTTGAAAATTCTAAACTTTTAGAGAACGTATCTTTATCCCTGAATTAGTTAGTATCAGATCCGTATTGGCACACAAAAAACAAGTCTTTCTGCTCCACAATTTCAATAGCTTAGTGTATCTTGTTTTCCAGAGCAGATGAGAAGATATGCTAATCCTACAGTAGCTGCTTTTAATCTAAAATGGCCAAGCGCATTTGCATCTAGAAGAATCATCTCAATATTTTTGCTAATGAAGTTTAATATTTGTGCAACTGCTGAAATCTATTCAATCTTCAAAGTCAACCACTGGACGGGTTCCTTTCTGATTGACCCAAAACAATGCATCTTCGTTTAAGTTAGCAAAGCTCTCTCTCTTTCGAGCTAACAATGACAGATAATCGCACTCTTTGTTGAAATCTTAATATATACTCCGTATATAATAACAATGAAATATAACTCAAAACGTATTGCAGCGAACCAAACTCACAGCAGCTGCGAAAAACGTCTTGTCTCCGATTTCAGAGAGAACAGTCATCGCCAGTGACTTCGTGAAGCCCTAATCAGTCCACCAAACACAAAAATCAATGGATGAACAAATGGAAAGTGCATCAGCAATACAGCCGATACAAACAAACTCCGGTTCAATATGTACATATATATGTCCGAAAAGTGACCTGTGCGACGGAGAGACTCATCTCGACAGCCGCAAACCAATGGGAAGGACGGATTATACAGAGAGCTGATTGATCGCGTGAGGTGTATCAGAGAGTATCAGTGTGAAGGTATAGATTAGGATTTCTGATGCTCTCAGGGGTTTGAGTGGGAGAATCGCCCGAGCTAAAATTCGTTTACCTAAATCCCACTAAAATTATTTCATACTAGCTCACTCCTTTAAAACTTTGACAAAGTTGACTTGATACGGAGAATAATAAAGTAAAAACTGTATGATTGAGGTTTGGATAGATGAGAGAGAAATAACAGAAACCACAAAATAATTGATTAAAGGGAAAATGAAAACTAATAATCCAACCTTTTAGCGCTCTTTTTACAATAGTCTCACCTTTTGATTATTCATGAATAATTCAACTTTTGCACCTCATCTCCATTCACTATTCCTTGGCCTATTTATTACATGTTATTCCAATTTATTTTCTTCTTTGCAAAACATTATGTGATCATAAGGTGGGATTTATGATATAATGTTTTACAAAGATAAGAAAATAACTTGGAATAACAGGTCATAAATCGGTTAGGGACCAATGAATGAAGGGGTGCAAATGTTGTATTATTCATGAATAATCAAAAGGTGTGACTATTGTAAGAAGACCGCTAAAAGGTTGGATTATTAGTTTTCATTTTCCTTTGATTAAAAGAGAAAGTGGCAAAGTTTTTTTGGACGTCCCAAAAAGGAAAGATGACAACGTTTTAAGGGATGGGGGTATCAAATTTGATAAATATATTGGATAGTTCCGAGGTAGCGTTTGCAAAAACTTAAAAAAAATCATTTGGCTATCTTCTCAGTTGAATATGTATCTGAAATTTGGTATGAGTAAACTAGATTTAATGAAGAAAATACTCAAAAAAATCATCAAAAATTCCACCGGTCCAACTAACTTAAAAAGTGCAAATCACCCCTTATGTGGGCGGTTCTGTCCGACCGTCGCCATTTGGGGCGATTTCCGATGGAATTTTTTGATGAAATGTTTTTTAAAATGTTTTTCAGCTTTTAGCTTTAAAAAAGTTAACATTGATGTTTTCAAATAACAAATTATACCCATTACAGGATCGGCGAGTCATATTGCTTTTTACAGGGTGATTGACTCTGAGTTTTGTTCGAGAGTCGACGGGTGGAAGTGATCCTTTTATCGTCTTCCATATATGAATGTTGTGATATCAATTTAAGCCGTCTTTTCTCAAAAAAAGTAAGTCAGGTGGGGCAGATGGTGGCTGAGGAGGTTAGGCTACGAGCTATCGATGGCGGCAGTAAACCAGGTGGGCCAGATGGTGGCGGCCAGAATGTCATGGCGGTGATCGGAGTTGTTGCGACGGCGTGAGTAGGTGGTGGGAATGTATTGGTGTTTTTTGCTGTCACCATTAGCTGGACAAGATAGGGGTTGTGGAGGGTGACTGTCGTGGTGGTGGCGGCGGCGTGTCGGTTGTATCACATTTTCACCGGAAAAAATCGTCGGAAAATTTGTTGGCGGCATAGTGATACATTATACTTAGTGACATTCGAAATGACATAATAATCGGTAATGACATTTGAAAGTGACATAATAATCGGGAATGACATTCAAAAGTGACATAAAAATCTAACATATGACATTGACATAAAAAACTAGCACTGACGTATAAATTCGGCAGTGACATAAGGTTTTTCCAATTATATGACCTTCTTAGTTACATTTTTGTCCTTTTGTAAAAATGATCACATTTTTTGAAATTGACTTTGTTTTAGTAATATTCAAGTTAAAAGGCCGTTAGTTATTCAAAAAGTTTACATATTCACGTGAAAAGTCAAAGACTAACTAAAAAGTAACCATAAATTACTCAACGTACCAATCACGATGTATTACAAAAACGCATAATGTTGAATGTATTTATTGTGATGAGGTAAATTTCAATTTACTCAAAATACTATTCTTCTACACATTTACATGGCTATGATTACTTTTTTACTTTCAATCATCTTTTTATAAGTTAGTTTACCGTATATAATAAAATTGTCAACATCAAATTAACCACGAATTGATTTGGGAATTATCTTCTACAGAAATGACAACATTTCATATCTAAAAGACATTGCGTAATTTCCGAAGCGTGCGACTCCTTTTGAGAAACACATTATTTTTATAATTATATTGTTTTGCGGTAATTATGCAGCAATCCTCGGTTCTAAGTTCTAAACTTGGAGGCAACATTTTATTTTATTTTATTTTATTTTTTATCGTCTCTTTCATCTGTCTACTTTCATTCTCATCTTTTCTTCTTAATTTTTATTTCTTAACTTCTCCGTCCCAAAAAAATTAAATATTTTCTTTTTGAGTTGTCCTAGATTTAAAATTATGTTTTGGTAAATAATTTCAAATAAAATTCATATTTAAGTCTCTCCTTAGTGTTTTCAATCCACAATTTTGTTATTTTGACTTTTTTCTCACTCTTGCCATTATTTTTAACATTCACTCATATCCCTCCCACTTTGTGAATCAAAATGTATTCAAATATGGACAAACAAAAATATCCAAATAAACTTTGAACAATTAGACAGTATATATCCAAAAGCTAGTATTCTAGACTCTAGAGTGAGAGAGACTTCTAAATTAGGAAAGAGATAAAATAGTAGGAACGAGAAAATAAATGATAAAGTTACATTAGCTTTGGGGGCACAATTTAAGATGAAATAGTAGGGGTAGAGTAAAGTGATAAAGTAGGAAAGAGAAAATAAATGATAAAGTAGAATATAAAGGATAAAATAGATGAGAGAATGTAATTAAAAGAGTAGTGTGGTAGGATATAATTGAATGGCGGTAAAAAGAAGGGTAATAATGTATTTTCATAGATAAAACTTTCCTTAATAGGAAAGCGTATGGAACTTTTAAATACAGTCCAAAAATGAATGTGTATGAAACTCTTAAATACGGAGGAAGTATAAACTTTATATATTTTACATTTTAAAAATAAACAGGAGCACAAATATCCACATGTGTGCATTTCAAGGAGTTTTTTCTTAAAATACTTTGGAAATTAAATAGACAAAATTGTGAAAAAAGTTACTACTAATGTAACATCATGGACACTATAGTGTTAAAATGAGCATATTTATAATACATATTTATGTGTGATTGCTGATGTAATCACTACATAAAAGGATCATATTTTTGTTCATCGTCTATATTTTAATGAAAAAGTTCCTCCAAGTCATATTAGACTATTAGTTGCAACATTACAATTTATACATTATTCATGTACTTTACTTTGACTACATTTTATTTATGACGAAATTCACAAGAATAATCCATATTTTTATGAATTCTACAATAATAATTCCTACTGAGAGTGTGCAAAAAAATAACTTGTACTAGCAATACTGTCCACAAGGAGTAAATTCACACTAATGTCCGCTTAATATTCTCAACCCCTATCTCCACTTTTCCCTTCACCACTATTCATCTGGATTAACACTTTTATGTTCCAACATAGAGAGCCACATGTGACGCAAATGATGTTGGGATTAAACGTGTTTTAGTTTGAATTTGTCCCGAGAAAAAGAGCAGGGAAGAGAAAATTGAGAGTAATAATGATTGAGAGTATTAAACGGACATTAATTTGAATTCGCTTCAATTTATTTTCATGGATATCATTGCTTGTTCGGATTATTTGCGTGGACACTCTGAGTATGAATTACTATTATAGAATTTCTAAAAGTATGGATTATTCTTGTGAATTTCACCTTTACTAATTAATGTATGTGAATTGTTTTTTTTTTGAAAATATTGTTGAATGTGAGATTTGCAAATTTAGTCATGTAACTTCCGACTGTTATCGTTATTGGTTCTGTAACTTTAGTCACTTGCAAATTTGGTCCTGTAACTAATAAATCTTTGCAATTTAAGGACTTTTCCATCGGAAAGTACACTTTCCGACAGAAAAATCCAACGCCGGCGACATCTTTGTCGGTATGCTATCGCCGGAAAGTGTACTTTTTAGGTAATTAAAAAGTCCTTTAATCACAAATATTAATTATTTACAGGACAAAATTTGTAAGTGACTAAGTTACAGGACTAATAATGAAAACGTTCGATTATTACGCGACGAAAATTGCAAATTTCTCATTGTTGAATTTTTCTCATTACTAAGTTTCATAATATGAATTTTCACTAATACAGAATTAAATGTAATGACGGTCAAAGTTGTACGTTGACAAACGTCAAAAAAGAAATGTCGTAACTAATAAAGAACGAAAGATAGCACTCGATATATGTTATTTTTTCTTCTTTAAGTTCATCTAAATCCGTTTATCAAAGTTAGATTACTGGTTTAACTAGTCACCTGCACCCACTACATACATTTTTAAGAATATTTTGAACATATAAATGTGTGTGCATAGAAGCGAAAATCATAAAGAATGGGGAAAAGGTGCAAATAGGTCCATGTACTAACCAAAAAAGTCAAATAAGCCCATTATTTAGGAGGCTCTGTCCGGTCATCGCCATTTGGGGTGGTTCCCAGGGTCATTTTTCGATGAAATTTTTTGAGCATCTTATTCATCGACTCTAGTTTACTCATACCAAATTTCAGCTAAAAATTCAACCGGGGAAGCAATCAAATGAATTCTTGAAAATAACTGCGTAGTTAGAATCGCTATTATCTTCAAGAATTCATTTGAATGTCTTCCGGATTGAAGTTTTAGCTGAAATTTGGTATGAGTAAACTAGACTTGATGAATAAGATGCTCAAAAAAATTCATCAAAAAATTCCACCAGGAACCACTCTAAATGACGACGGCCGGACATAGCCTTCTAAATAAGAACTTATTTGACCTTTTTTGGTTAGTATATGAGCCTATTTGCACCTTTTTCTTAAAGAATGACAGTCCCACGGGTTGATTTACATAAGGCACAAAATATACAGTTTTGTAATTAAACATCAATCTAGATTCTTATGATACACAATTAGCAAAACCCAAAGAAATTCATGGATGGAGTCATCTCAGCCCATTTGATTTCATGTTCAGAAGCGATTGAAATCTTTGGAGATGATGCACACCATTTTTTGCGAGTAACTCTAACGACAAGAACACCTATGAAAGTTAAACGGGTTTAATGCACCAAATCCCCATGTGATATGAAAATTCGACGCATTAGCTCCATGTAATTTAAGAAATGCGTCAAACCCCCCTATGTTTTAATTAATCATGCAAAAAATCTCTTTTATGAATAAATTCAAATGTCAAATAAAAGAAAAATGATTAACATTTTTGTATGATTTAGAGATTTTGACATATTTACTTGCATATTCAATCAGAATATTAGAAAAAGTGGTTTCCAAATTGTTAAATTTTTCATAAAAAGAGATTATGTGCATGATTAATTAAAACACAAGGGAGTTTGATGCATTTTTTAAATCACAGAGGACTAATGCGCTGAATTTTCATATCACATGGGGTTTGGTGCATTAAACCCAAAGTTAAACTGTCTAAATTAAGTCGTATAGTATTACTCTATGATTTTTTGCCTTCCTAAAATCGTCCATATTAATTAAAAAATCATGTGGGGGTCAACCTTTTCTGCTTATTCTCATTTGTTGTTGGACTAAACGTGTATTTACCTTCCTAAGCTTGACGCTTCTTTGGCTGCAAATTATGGTATTTATCATAACTCTCAATTAAAAATAAAGATTTTCATAAAATATTACTAATAAAAACCTATGGAAAAATGTGACTATAAATTATTAAGTGTAAGTTTTATAATCAGTTAGCCATTATGATGTACAACATCCGTCGCGAAAAGGTTGGTAATATTGATTTTTCATGATGACAAACTTTGGACAATGAATCTAATTACTACTCTGTGTAATTGTATAAAATTTATAAATTTTATAATTTTGTGAAAATATTTTGAATAAAGAACATTTTGAGATAATTTTCATATTCAAAATTATTTCATATTAAAAAATATCATTGATCAAAATTGATTGTCATTGACCAAGAAAAAAGTCAATGTGGCAAACCTTTTCAGGATGGAGGGAGTAACATTTTTGTCCACTACATTTATTTTGGTTATATATTTGAAATTATTTCGTAAAAAACAATCTCCACTATTCCAGTTATCTATTGAGCTGAATAATTTTTCTCTCACACATATAATGTATTTAGGTGATGAAACGGGTCAGCTCAATTCGTCGCCTACTCAATCCATACAGGCATGCAGTTTCAATCCTGTTTTACCGTAACCCCCTCCCCGATCCCCTGGGGTAAAAAAAATAACGCTTTTAGACATATAAAGATTAGATCTCACACACTTCTATATTTTTAGGTATTCATATAACACAACATAAACAATCTATAACTAATACTTGGTGATAAAAAAAATAGTTTCTATATAAATAGAATAGATGGGTCACTACATTCACAAAAGCAAATATATGATGCATGTTAAGAATCAGACTCATCATACTATGGCGAGAAAAATGGCCGATTTCAATAGATATACTTAGGGAAAAAGTTCCTGAAATATGACTAAAACAGTTTCAAAATTCTAAAATAGGATTGTCATGATTTTTATTTCCAAAATAGGACTAATTACTGTCATGTTTAGAACATACTGTCATGTTTTAAGTCTGGTACTGCCAAAACATGACAGTATTTAGTCCTATTTTGAGAATAAAAACATGGCAATACTATTTTGTAATTTTCAAACTATTTTAATCCTATTTTGGGTAATATCTCAGTCATAATACTTATCACAAGAGCCCGTGCAAGGTATAAGAATATTAACATACACACTAAAGTTAAAAAATAATCAAGTAATTCACGTGTTGAATATATCATCACATATATAGTCTTAAGGTCCGTATATCTATTATCAAATCTTGTTCTTTCAAAATAAGTTCTACGAAATGCCAACTAACAGAAATGTTAATATACTTAACAATTATAATTGATAATTAACTAAAGGGGGGTCATGTAGATTTCGAGAATGACTACTCAATGGAAGGACGGCCTTATGATAATTCATGTGCCATCTAAAGAAAAAATCATTTTCTAAAAATGCTAACTCGAGTCTTAAAGGAATATTCGGGCTCAATTTTCTAAAAAAACTGGATTTTTTAAGAAACAGGCAACTATCTCCTTGAAATATCATTACAATTTTATGCCATTTCATTAAAGTTAGATACATGTTTTGAGATATTGATATGTGCTACTTAGATACATCTTTTGAACAAAGAACACATTTTAGAACGATTTTACATTGTGTTTACTTAGCTTTTGTACCATTATGGTAATTTTTTTAGCGTCTAAAATAAAACTAGAATTAGAAGATTAATATATTTTGACATGTAAGCAAGAAACATGATGGAAAAGCAAAAGAAAATTACTTAAGAGAATTATGAAGGAGCTTGGAGACAAAAGGAAGCTTCATGAGAGACAAAGAAAGAAGAAATATCTGATTCAATCTCACACCCGTTCAGGTATATCCAATACCCAATCGGGTATGATTTGACCCCAAAATCATACAAGATCAAACAAAGCAAGAGAACTTGAGGAAATCTGATTTGGTGGAAAACCCAATCGGGTTTGATTAGATTCTCTGGGCTACTACCAAGGATACCTGGTCGGGTATTTAACCCAACCACCTCATTTCTCTTATAAAAATATCTATTTCCTTCCCACTTGAGACACATCATATCAATCTTTCATTATCCTTGTAACTTAGGTAGTCTTTTGAGCTTGGTTACCTACTCCCTCCGTTTCACAATCTTTGACACACTTTAATTTTTTGGTTGTTTCACAATCAATGACACACTTCCTTATTTCCTTATTTGGTAAAAAAATATTTACCAAAACAGTGCAAAACAGTGCCAAACAATGTTCAAACAGTGCCAAACAGTGTACTCTACAGTAAAATTTACCCCTCAGTAACATTTTTCCTTAATTCTTGATAAGTCAAATTGTGTCAAAGATTGTGAAATGGAGGGAGTATATTTAATCTCGTGATTTTCAAGTTGTGAGTTATTTATTTAATCCTCTTCTCTTGAATATTAATTACTTCTGTATTATATTCCATATTGATATTAGAGCATCACTAATTGATCAATTGATTGGCGTTTCCATATTGATTGTTACTAAAACCGGCCAATGAATACGCCTTAGATTATTATTGCACGTGTCTCATTGCACCAATATGTAAGCAATAAACTTGTAGTAAACTTAATAGAGGTGTTCTTTAATTAGTAAAATGCACGAAAAAGAAAAGGACTCTTATATTTATTTATAGGGAAAATGGGCAAATAAGCCCTCGAACTAACCTAAAAAATGCAAATCACACCTTTTATATGAGACTCTGTCCGGCCGTCGCCATTTGTGGCGGTCCTCTGTGGAATTTTTTGATGAATTTTTTGAGCACCTTCTTCATTAAATATAGTTTACCCATACCAAATTTCAGCTAAACATGCAATCGGGATGACAGTCAAATAGAACGGTCCGGAGCATTTTCGGAGACTAGCCTGCTTTCTATTATTGAAGTGGGCCTCGCCTGAGAAGGCTACTGGATAACTACGCAGTTAAACAGCGCAGTATATTTCAAAAAAATCATTCGACTGCCTTTCCGGTTGAAGTTTTAGCTGAAATTTGGTATGAGTAAACTAGACTTAATGAAGAATATGTTCAAAAAAAATTATCAAAAAATTCCACCGAAAACCACCCCAAATGATGACGGCCGGACAGAACTTTCTATAAAAGGGATTATTTACACTTTTTCGTTTACTTAGAAGGTTTTGCGCATTTCCCCTTATTTATACCACAAGATATAAACTCATATACATCAAACGTCCGCTTAGGAAACCGTAAAGTCAAATTGGGATTTTAATTGTGGGAGGCAAAGGAGTATTTTTGAACATGATCCACATTTTCCCAAATCTTTACATAATTGTCTTTCTATCCATAAGCTATGGTTAGGTTCTATCAACAATCAATGGACATTAAAGTAGCACCCTAAAATTCTTTGTAAATAACTTCCATCGACTTCTTTGGTCCACCCTCGCTCCACTGGCTACGACTACATATTGTCATGCGCATACTTGAGGAATTGTCAAAATTTTAGAATTCGATCGAATCACTGCTAACTCTGCTCTTTCTTCGAGCCTCTACGGTCGCCGCCGTTTGATCGACCGCAAACGCTGCCATGAGCGACTCGCAAGGGTCTTCTTCTGCTTCCTCTTATTCGTCTTCATTTGAGGATGCTCTCGCAAGGCCGCGGGTAATTGATCAAGTTAAATTTCGCTATTGATCATCTTTCACTATATGTTGGTCGTGGTTAGTTGCCTGTTACATTTAAACTCGCTCTAGTGGGAAATATGACTCCTTTGTTGACTTCCGGTGCTGACTACCGAGTCCAATTTATGAGTAATCTTTGTAAATGTTTGGTTTCACCGATTGACTTGCAATTTCCTAAACTTTGTTGCTTTGATTTGCGGATGTTGGCATGCTTCCAACTTTAAGTAAGTTTTGCTCTCATGCAGTGTACATTTTGTTTCAGTTGTGAGTTGTGTGTATACGGCCATATATCATCCAGGTTACAACTTACAGTCCGTGTATGAACCAGGAAAAGAACCCATGTTAAAACTGTAATTTGGTTTGTGACTTTGTGGCTTGGTATGGTGCAAAGTCTCAAAGTGTAGGGCTGCTAATGCACTCAGAGTGGAGAGTGCATATAATTCAGCATTCCAAGGGGGCCATTTTGCAAAATACCAGTCACCCCTAATTATATCTACTTAACCAAAAAAAAAGTAAAATGTAATTGGTGCACTTTTCTATTTCCAGACTTGAATTTTGTTTGTGCAGTGCCCAATAAAATCATGAATGTTATTTAAAAATGGATTATAGAATTTCTGTTTTCATTAATGTACATATCTGTATATTTAACTGCAGAACGACACTGGGATTCATACCGCAGCTGATGGAAGTCATTCTCTGGGTTTCACTGCAAGAACCTCACGCCATTGGAGAGATGTTTTTTGGTTGGTGATATTTCTGTTGCATCTAATAGTGGTTGGTTTGGCACTCGGGGTATTCGGCTTTAATAGGTTTAGGGAAAAGGATAGGCTAAAGATTGATAGATATACAATGCTATTTCTTGAAAATCGTGAGGGTCTAACAGAGGATTATTGGCCATTGTATGCTGTTGCGGCTGGAGTCGCAACTGCTCTTGGTTGGACTTGGTTGTTGTTACTCGGTTCACTGGGAAACCAGATGATGAAATTCTCAGTGCACATCTTGACTACATATCTTGCAGTTGTCAGTGTGTTGTGTTTCTGGTCAACACAGATATTTTGGGGCATTGCCTTTGCCATTGGTGCGGCTTTGCAGTTCATGTATGTCATATCAGTAATAGACAGGTAAAAAATGTGATAAAACCAAACACATCTCTCCCCCAGAGCATATATACTAAAACTATATGTGCTCAAATAGTCCTGCTTAAGTTATTTGTGTTTGCAATTTTGTTTGAATCCCAACTGAAGAAAATTGGGATACATGTAAAGATGAATTTCTTTGTGATCCTCTCTTCAAAGCATGTTGTGATGCTACTGAGGACATATGAATATATGATGCGATTCGAGGAGACAATAACTTGTAACATTTTATTTTGTTTGCTTAAATTACTCTCTGTTTGATTGCAGTAAAATAAGGTATGGAAAGTGTTTCTAGGGAAAAATAATTATCTGGAAAATCAAGTGTTGTATGTATAAAATAATGTTCAATATGCTAAAACCGGAAAGGTGAAACTAGTTCAGGAAAATAACTTTCCTCTATTGATAAGAAAGCCATTTTCCACAGAAATGCAAAATAAAGAGGAAATCTTTTATCCTCAACTTTTTTGGCCCCAAACACCTAGAAGGATGTAGAATTAATGGAGTCTAGTTTTAATGAACTCTTGTGGTGAATTTTATATGTTCTTAATATTCTTCTAGTGGCGGAAACACTATTTGTGACATAAAATTGTGATAAATAAGGCTGTTTTCAGATGAGTTTATCCCTTGGTTGAGTTGGTTCATTTAGCCAATTTCAGTGATATGGGATTAAAAACTTATTCAAATACAAAACTAATTACTTCTACTTTCAACACATTTAATTAATCTCTGTCAAGAGTGCTGATAATGATATATTCACATATACAGTAATATGATTATTATTACAAACATTAATGATTGTTTTAGGCTGTATGATAAGTAGAAGACAACAACAACAATAGTAATAGTATTTGTGAAAGTAAAACTAATGATTACTAATTACTATTGTTCTAAATAATTACAATAACGATTGTAGTTATAATAACAAAATATATATTAAATAATGGTGTGATGCTTGTCTGGTAAGTGTATTTTTTGTTAGCTCTGGTCCGCTTTAGCCTGGTCTGTTCTAGTTCGGAGCCAAAATAGGTTCAGGAGAAGTGGTCCTTACTCAGGTCATAAAGTGTACTAAGTTGCCAGAATGCATTTCACCCTTTCCCAAATAAAATGGAATAATAGATTTATTTTCATATTTTTAATGACAATTTGTTACATATATTTGTCTTCATTATAGATTTCCATTTACCATGCTAGTGTTACAAAAAGCAGTCAAGATGGTGTGGAGCCTTCCTGAAGTTATGGGAGTATCATGTGCATTTACACTGGTCATGATTTCATGGTTAGTACTGTGGTCCTTTGGAGTAGCTGGGGTTGTGGCTTTAAGCATTGGTGATGGTGGACGTTGGTGGCTACTTGTGGTGAGCTGGCAAGTTTTTGCTCTTAATTGTGCCGTATTACAAGTTCTGGTATCGCTTTATTAGTTCATAAAACAATTCAACCTATGCTTTTCTATGGACGTGCAGGTTTTCTGTGTTAGTTTATTCTGGACCGGCGCAGTTTTTTGCAACATTGTTCATGTTATAGTGTCTGGGATGGTGTTTTTTGTTATATACCATGGCGGTCATGCAGAAACATCAATGCCTCCTAAACCGCTGTTGAATTCTCTGAGATATGCTATCACTACTTCTTTTGGCAGTATCTGCTATGGATCACTGTTTACGGCCGCTATCCGGACATTGCGTTGGAAGGTTAGTCAACTTCACTCCAGGACCTGTATTATCATATTATGTACTCCCTCCGTCCCGCAAAATAGTTCCCGGTTTCCTTTTTGGGCTGTCCCAAAAAATAGTTCCCATTTCCTTTTTTGGAAAGTTTTTTGTGGCTACCATTCATTTACCTTTTTCTTACTCAACCATAACCATACATTTCCACTTTATTCCCACTTTCTTAAACTCCGATCCAAGTCAATGCGGGAACTATTTTATGGGACGGAGGGAGTAATAAATAACTTTAATAAAATTTTTATATTGTTTTTCATTTGGAAAGTTATATTTCTGTGTCATTTGTATTGAAGTTTCTGTATGAGCTGATATAAGTAACAATATCCCTTTTCTGCTCACTGCAGATTAGAGGAGTAAGGTCAAAGATTGGTAACAATGAGTGCTTGCTTTGTTGTGTGGACTTCCTTTTTCATTTGGTGGAGACGCTAGTCCGATTCTTCAATAAGTATGCTTACGTCCAGGTATGTAAGATTATATATACTGTTGTTGGAAGGGCTTCGTTTGTTGTGTGAACTTCCCTTTTTTTAAGCAGGGAGACGTCAAGTCCATTGCTTCTATAAATATGCCCATGTCCAGCTAGTTAGGTTTATACATACAAATATAGCTTAAAGAATATGAATGAAGATAGCTTTTTAAAAGAGATAAGGGTCAGATTGGTCATCGAAATTGTATAAAAAGGGTCAAATAAGTCCTTACTGTCCGGCCGTCACCATTTGAGTAGGTTTCCGGTGGAATTTTTTGATGAAAGTTTTGAGCATCTTATTCATTAAGTCTAGTTTACTTATACCAAATTTCAGCTAAAACTTCAACCGGGAAGGCATTCAAATGAATTCTTGAAGGTAACCGCTTTTAACTGCTCAGTTATCTTCAAGACTTCATTTGAATGCCGTCCTGATTGAAGTTTTAGCTGAAATTTGGTATGAGTAAACTAGACTTAATGAACAAGATGCTCAAAAAAATTCATTAAAAAATTCCACCGGGAACCGCCCCGAATGGCGACGGACAGACAGAGCCTCCTATATAAGGACTTATTTGACCCTTTTTATGCAACTTCGAGGACCAATCTGACCCTTACCTCCTTTTTACAATGATTATCTAGCCTGCCACATTGTATCCACTTATTTGGGTAAAAAAACTTTTGTAATGGCTATTCAGGCTTGTGAGCTTTATGCAGGCTGGATGAATTACAGACAGGCATGGTCCTGTTCAATAAGTAAACAGACCAAAAATCTTACCCAAAACATGACATGATTATTACATGGATATCCCATGACATAACACGCCTTGCCCATGTGTCTTGCTAAGCACAACCCATTTAGCCTATTTAAATACTACAAACAAAAATATATTGAAATAAAAATTACCAATTTCAAAGGGACATTTCTTCATACTATGTTTAGGGATGGAAATCCATTTTTATTAAGCCTTACATGCGCTTTGAATCCTGTGTCAGGCCTAATTCATCATCCGGTGACCCAGCCAGGGTCCAAGGCCATTTATGGTTGGACCAAGCCCATTTAGTCCATGTCTTTCTTGTGTAGTCTGTGATTGGACCATATCGCCACCCATAGAAAGTATGTAATAGCCCTTTTTAAATATACTCCCTCTGTCACATATTTAGCTTCCGAGTTACTATTGGTATGGTCAAACTTTGAGCACATATTGTATAACTGTATAACTATGTGTATAAGTCAAGGCATAAATATACTCCCTTTGATATGGTTGAGTTCAAGGGATCTCTATGAACTACCCTATAGGAATATTTTGGATGACCTCAGAACATCTAGAAGATCTAAGTTTACATTAAGTGATTAAATGATTAATTTCAACACCTCTTCTTGTTAATAAAAACAAAATAAGATAAACCAAAAAAGATATAGCTAAAAATATAACATGCCAGTAACCTATGGAAAACTATGACATCATGTATGGCCTTGAGTATGAAGATGCAAGTGTTGGGCAACGGGAAGCCTTGAGTAGATGAAGTCGCTGAAATAAAGCATGCTGCCAATTTCGTTCTTGAGCAATTGCAATAGATAAGCAAAATGTGACATTTGCATCCTACATTTTGTTTATTCGACCGTTGGTGCTTTTTATGCCATGGTTCTGAATTATGATAATGACTATCAGGAAAAAAAGATGTAATCTTTGTGATTTTTCTTATAACAGATTGCTGTTTATGGTAAAAACTTTAACCACTCAGCAAAAGATGCTTGGGAGCTGTTCCAATCAACCGGAGTTGAATCACTTATTGCATACGACTGTTCTGGTGCTGTACTACTAATGGGCACCCTTTTAGGTGGACTGATTTCTGGAACTTGTGCTGGAGTTTGGACCAGGATCAAGCATCCAGACAGAGTTATGATGGTCGGTTCCACTTCCATGTTGATTGGGATGATCTTGGTAAGAAAGTTTCTTCTTTTGGCATGTATTTATCTTTTTTGTTTGTGTGCTCACTCACTCACGCACACACCCATAGCATGCAACTTTAAAAATGCAGATAAATAAATTTCAATCTATGAGCGCCTTGATTTACCTTAACATTAAGGTACTGTTTTTCGTACCCTAATTGTAGCTCGGTAATTTTTATGGAAAATAAGTTTGTCGTATTGTGTCACCCGTAGTATTTAGCCCACACAAACATTTAAAAAAACTAAACAGTTCAGAAATGTGAGGAATCCCGAAACGAGAGCTTCTTGGTGTACACCTTTTTTGTACACTTCTACCTTTTCTAGTTGAAAAAATAGGGAGTGTACACAAAAAGTGTACAAAAAGTGTACAAAAAGGTGGACAAACAGATTTTTCCTCCCCAAAATAGGAAAATCCAAGAACTTTTACCTCTGAAAATAATCAAAATATTTCCCTGCAATCAAACGTGGCCGTAAATGGGAAATTGGCTTGGTAGCAAATCTAGGCTCAATCCCTTCTTCAAAAGCTTACTAAATTCTAAGCTCACATGTGTGACATTGAATTGCAGGTGGGTTTAGCGAATGTAGTGGTGGAAAGTGCAGTGACCGCCTTATATATCTGCTTTGCTGAAGACCCTTTACTAGTAAGTAAATGGGATTCAGAGTTTTTTGACAAGATGTCGGAGACCCTTCACCAACGTTTGCAGCATAGAAGTGCACGTGCAAGGCAAGTCGTACTAACCACTAGGTTCGATACCCAAATGCAAGAACCAGTGCAAATCTGAATTTTATGTCTCCACAAATTGGAATTGAAAATAACTGTCTATATTTATAATTTTATTTATTCATCCAAAGAATTACAGGTCCTGTTATAAAGGTGTAAATTTTTGTGCTTCCAGAGTTCCAGCGTCATTCTTGTGGTTTTTTTTTATATGTCCTATTTGTAAAGAATCAAGTAAAGAATTAATTCCCCTTTTGATACTTTCACTTTCAAAACAAAGTTACAAAACAAGGAAAACACTGACTTGAATGAGAAATGCCTTACGCTTGATCATTCTTATTTCTGATTGTTTTTTGTCAATAGTTCAGTGCTAAACAAAAACTCGAGCATCATGGAAAGATAAGAATACTATGAACATTGAACAATCTTTTTGGAAGATTGTTTGTGAACAATATAAAAAATAGAAACTTTCTGAAGATGTTTTAAAAATTTAGTGTTGTGATAGTGCATGTTGGATTATTATACTCCCTTATACTACATTACTACATATGCATTATTGATTTAGTGTCTGTTAGAGACAAATACTCCCTCCCTTCCCCCAATTAAGTTATTCACTTTCCTTTTTGAGCAATCCCTAAATTAAGTTCACACTTCCTTAATTTCCTTATTTGGCAAATTATCTACATCAAAACGGTGTCAAACAGTACCAAACAGTGTCAAACAGTGTTTGAACAGTGCAAAACAGAGCATTCCACATTAAAGTCAAATTTATTTTCTTAATATGTGTGAAGTTAAATCGGGAACTTAATTGGGGGACGAAGGGAGTATATTTGTATAATTATTTATGCTTAAAACAAGGACCATGGTTGGTGTTGGTTAGGGATGGATTCGGTTCGGGCCACCCGGCCCGTGACCCGGCCCGGCCCGGTACTGTGCGGGCCCGGGACCGGCCCGGTCGGGCGGTCCGGGACCGGGTATGGACCCGAACCGATGGGAAGGGGCGGGGGCGGGCTTGGTTCTGGATTTTTGTGACCCGGCCCCGGGTCCGGGTCTATTTTTTTAAAAAAATTTTTTTTTTTTGTTTGGTTTGGCTACTAGCCGTTGGGGCCTTGGGGGTGGGGCTGGGGACAACCCAAACGGCTATATAGCCATTGGGTGGGGTAAAGGGGGGGTCCGGGGGGGTTGGCTGGTGGGGGGGGTGGGGGGTAAAAAAACCTATAAATACTCCTAATCTTAAACATTTTTTCATATCTCTTCTCCAATTCTTCCTAAATCCTATTCTTAACTCTCTACTCTCTAATTCTCTTATTCTCCAATATATTATATTTATTATTTATATATCTACTTTATAGTTTATACTTAAGAAGTTAAGATGGAAAATCAAGATGCCATTATACGATATAATTTTGATAAGCAGAAGGACCCGAAGACCGGGATGTGGTACGCAATTTGTAAATGGTGCGAGAAAAAATGTAACATCGGGGCTTCAGGCGGATTCGGGATGGCAATCAAGCATATGAAGTCATGTGACAAAGCCAAAGGATCGGGAGGTGTGGGAAGTTCCGATTGATTACAATTTTCAAAATGTTTATCTCTTAAAGTTTGTTTTAATTTTCAAATGTAGTTCCTATTTCATTTCAAATAAATGCAATTGAAGTTTGTTTTTAATACTCGTATAAAACTATAAACTATAAAATATAAATTATTTTAAAAAAAATTAACCGGCCCGAACCGGACCCGACCCGTGACCCGGGCGGGTGGCCCGGCCCGAACCGGACCCGTCCAACCCTCGGGCCGGTCCTGGGCCCACTATTCTTGAACCGGCGGCCCGACCCGGCCCGAATCCATCCCTAGTGTTGGTGCACGTTTTATACAGCTATACTTGGCTAAGATGCAAGGTCACGACTCACGAGTCATCAGTACCTATGATGCAAGATTGCAAGGTCAAAGTACTAATATAACTCACGATCTTTGCGCATAAATAGATACACAACTGGCCAACAAACATCATAATCAATTTTGATTTCAAAACCTAAAATTTAGGGATCCGATAAAGGAGAACCGTGAGCAAATAAGCCTTGAAGGCTGAAGCTGAAAGATAGTAACTTATTTGAAGGACCTAGTTTGGTTGGAAGATTTCGGCAAGGTGAAAAGTGATCAAAAGATTTGTGTATATTTGGTTGAAAGAACTAGGAGGGGATGGGAAAAAAGCGGATGACTTCCAAAACCCCATGCGCTCTTCTTTCCCAACGCTACAATTTGGAATATTTCGGAGAAAATGTATTGTTAAAAAATGTATGAAAAATTGAAAACTGGTAATTTAAAATTTTAAAAATGTAATAATTTAAAAATTTTAAAACCCAAAATTTGTAAAATCGAAAAAATTGAAAAAATTAAAAAATTAAAAAATATAAAATTTAAAAATAAAATAATTAAAATTTTAAAAAATTTAACATTTAAGAAATTAAAAAATTTAAAATTTAATAATTTAAAGGTATAAAAGATTAATTATTTTAAGATCAAAATTTTAAAATCTTAAAAATCTAAAATCTAAAAGTTTTAAAAATCAAAATATAAAAATAAAAATCTTAAATTAAAAATTGAAAAGTTTTAAATTATAAAATTTTAAAAAATTAAATTTATAAATTTTCAACCAATACAACAAAAAACTCCAAACTTACTTTTTAGAGACCGAAATCAATTTACGTGTTTGATGAAAAAGTTATCTAATAAATCTTACGAGTATAAGTCAAAAACCAGGATAAAAAGGAGTTCTCCATCTCATAAACTCTTCATTTGCTCTGCAAAGTACCGGGAACAGAGCCTCACTTTCTATCTATCAGATTAGGATTATAGTCCAATTTACATCCTCACAACTTACCGTCCAGTCGGGGTTGAGGGTCTCGAGTTGTCATCCTTTTTTTTCATTTCACTACATGAGAATTAAAAAGAAACAATAATGGTGTGAGCAACCTAACACTACAACAAAAAGTCACGAGACATTACATGACAAAACTCTCTACCCTACGTGAATGTGAGCAAAAAGGGTAAAATAGTGGGGAGGGGGGGGAGGGGGGGGGGGGGGGGGTCGGGGAGTGGTCCGAAAAAACAAAAACTGACATTTGACAGGTACTTGGATAGTAGTGTACGTATTTGTGAGTGTTTTTGCGAGTGTAATTGGTGTACGTATTTGATCTGGTATAATTATTAATAAAGTGGTCGAAAAAATAAAAAATATTTTGAGATATAAGTATAATAAAGTGAAATAATATAGATCACACATTTCTTTTCATAAGAGAAAATGAGAGACTTATTTTAGGAAAATCCAAAAAGAAAAGTAGGACAGACAAAATGGGACGAGGGAGTATATTATTTAAATACTCCATGTGTATTTAAAAGATCCATACCTTAGGTTACGAGACAAGATTTAAGGGAGAATAATAGGAGTGATGACTAATGAATAGTATATTAAAAGTGCGAGAGAAAGTGAAAAAGCAAGAAAGAGAGAATAAGAAGTAGAAAAAAAGGTTAATTGAGTATTTTTAAAGGAAAAACTTACAAAAAAAGGAAAGTGTAAGGAACTTTTAAATACTCGGTACAACTCAAAAAGAAAAATGTATGGAATTTTTAAATAAAGAGGGAGTTGTTGAAATGTGATAATAATTTAAGGAATTTTTAACGACGTGTTTCAGGTAGACCTAAATAGATCAGACCAGATTTGAATAGATCAAACAAAGCTTTGACAATTACTCCCTCCGTCCCAGAAAATTCTTCCCACTTTGACTTGGCAAGGAGATTAAGAAAGTGAAATAAAGTGGAAATGTGTTGTTGTAGATGTGTAAGAAAAAGGTGAAATGAATGTGAACCACACAAATTGTCTAAAAATGGTAAGTGGGAAGAATTTTTTGGGACGAAGGGAATATAAAATACATAAAGACCAAATATTTACCATATCAGACTCGTTAAAATCAGATCAAACATAAACAGAGGAGTGTAGACCAGATCAGGCAAAAAAAACTCAGACCAATTAAAAACATTGTAATATTTAATATACAACTTTAATTAATTATCGATATTAAAGGTAAACACTATGAGCTTAGTTTAGCTATTACTATTACGGTAATAGTATTACCTAAACACGAGCACCTAGATTCATGCAACTAAATAAAATATTCTCAATCAGAAAAATATATGGGAATGCATACCTCCCATTCCTGCGACTAACGCTAGGTTTGCATTTTGGGCTGTCGCGGTAGGAAATGCAACACATGTTACGGTGCATTTAATAATTTTCAATTAAGTTGAATAAGCAATGTTGATCTACAAAAATACAACAAATAAAAGTACATGGTTTGGATAGGTATCCGGGCGGCCAATAATTAGATGCTCATCCATTCTTTGCTTCACTTCACCGATTTCGTAAGTAATTTTGAAACCCACTAAAATTCTACACTTTTTGGAATGAGATTTTAGAATTCTACACCGGGCTAGCTTCTTCAATTACTGTATTTCCGATGGCTGCCACTCTCCGGTCATTGAAGTTAGTAGCTCTTCTTCCATTACTTTTTGTATTTGCAGCCGTATCCTTCAGCTTTTCTGCAACTCCAATCACCGCCCTCTACGTCGGCGTTGACACTCATGCCGGTCTTACCTTGGTAATTGGACTCTTTTCCCTTTCTTTCGTTTCCGCACTTTAATACTACCCGTCTTGGAACAAGAGAAGGTGACATGATTATTAAGAAAAACGGGTTTGTGATTACGTAAAACATTTCTTGACCCATTGTATATTTAAAAAAGTTTTAGAATTTAGGAATCAATAATCCCAGTTGAAAAATATATTGAGTATGTAAATAATCTCAACTTGATAACAGTTTCCCAAAAAATGAACCAACACAGTTGAAGGTTAACACTGTAAAGTGATTGCTTATTTTTGTGAAGTGGCAACAAGTAGAGATTATTATTATAATTAAACATCTTGGTAAGTATTGTTTTTGTGAAATGTGTCAAATTAAGAATTGCCTATTGGTGTCTATTTAGTCAATATTGCATGGATATTCTTATCATTTTGAGAAGTACCAAAAAATAATCGGTAATTAACCACATAAATTGAATTATTATATTGATGTATAATATAATAATATAATAATACAAATTATTCATTTGGGATTTTTTTTCATTGCTTGATACTTTAGGATAAAGAGTGTAGTAGAACATGTGAATCCAAGTTCTGTGGAGGTAAGAAAAATTGCCCTATGTATAAATTTAAACTTTGTTTAATCAGTTAATTAACCTAGCTAAAGCCTAGTAAGATGACTGATTATTAATTAATTAATTAATTTATTGACTGATGAAATGGGATATGGAAAGTGCCTCCCTTCCTAAGATATGGAAAATACTGTGGGCTGCTCTACAGCGGATGCCCAGGAGAGAAGCCGTGCGACGCCCTTGATGCTTGTTGTATGCTGCATGATGAGTGCATTCAAATCAATGGCAGTAAGTTTTCTTATTGTTTGGTTCTTACTTAGCTTAGAGGGGTTTTCAAAGATATTACACAAATTAAATTTATTTATAAAAATATGAATAAAATTAATATGAGTGTATTGTCATGGTCGTTAATTTAAGTGTAAAAATTGAATATAAATTACTATGATTACTGTTAATATTATTGTCACTACATTTAAGAGGTCTCATTATTGTAAACAGTCCTAATTTTAGTCAAAAATTTAAAAAAAACTATGGAGTATTATTTATTATTAAAATTTGCTAGAGTACAACATAGCATGGTTCCTCAATTGAACCGGAGTCTCAAGGTTTTTCGTATGTTTGAGAGTTTGGAGGGAAGAGGGGGGAAGAGTTTGGAGGTATGTTGTTGGAGGGGAGAGGGAGGGGAGGGTGAGGAAGCCCTTCTTTGTATTTGGGAGTAATAAAATTGGAAGGAGATGGTTTTTTAAGGAATTATAATTAAAATCACTTTGAGATATGACGAATTCAAATCATTGAGCTAATATTCGTTTCTAATTTAGCTTAAATTACATCTTGTTAATTATCCTCCAAAACTCTCCAAATTGGGGAAACTTAAAAATTTAACATTTGGAGGGTTTTGAAGGGTTACAAAAGCCCTCCAAAACCACCCTCCAAAATTTTAAACTCCCAAACATGAAAAAGAGAGTCATAAATCTTCATTAACCTTTCCCTCCCCTCCTAAACCCAACTCCCAAACACACCCTAAAATATGACCCACTCACTCCTATTTTGTAATTCTTTTATTGTTCCGATTTTATAGTATGACTAAAAGAAATCTCTATTTTGTTCATGTTTTACTCCTAACTTTAATCATTCCTTATTATTGGTATTACGGACAATGACTTTAATACACTACCAGGTACCACAAATCAATCAATAATAATATATAATTATATAAGTAGTACTTTCTTCGTCCCTAAATAAACTTCTCATTTTTTTTTGAATATCCTTTGATAAAGTTCACATTGCTTATTTGGTAAACAAAATGGTGTCCAAAGTGTCAAACAATGTAATCTACGGTAAAATTTACATCATTTCGTTAATATGAGTGCAAGTCAAAGTGTGAAGATTAAATATGGATGGAGAGAGTATTATACTATAGAAATTACTGCATCATATTATCTCAACGGTTTAAAAACATAACAAAAATGTCCGGAAGCTACTTTCATCCCTCAAATCAAATTATTTAATTCGTCAAGAACAAGCACCACACTATCAAGTATATAAGCCGATTTCTTTCAAATAACAAACTACTACGTATCAAATAAGGATCGATTATTTAATTTGATAATTTTATATCATTTTGTATATATTGTAGAAGGGGTTTGATGTTAAAAAAATGCTCGGTAGCTCAATGGCTCAATGTTATTTTTGTTATATATTTAAATTGCCGAAAAATTCTAAAGGTACACACTTTTAAAAATACGTTATGTCTGTACAGACATAAAAAAAATCTTACACAGACATGTGTAAAAAGTGTGTACACAAAAAGTGTGTACCCCAAGTCCAACTCTAAATTGCCTGACTATGAAATGATTATTTGTATAGTACAGAGTATAATTTAAATTATTTTCTCTTTATATACAGTATTTGCTTCAATTCTGAAAAAAGTGGTGGGTTATACAAATGTTTGGTTGATGTGCAGATGAGTACCTAAGCCAACATTGCAACACAAACTTTTTGAAATGTATGACCACATTCGAGAAATCGAATGCTTTGACGTTTAAAGGCAACACTTGCGATGTGGAAGAGGTTGTGAATATTATCAGTGATGTCATAGATGCTGCCATTATCGCTGGGAAAATATTCCACAAACCTTGAATTATGCCTTATCTGCATTAGGCAGACACCTCTTCACATGTTTAGTGCCTTCAACAAAGCACTCAAGACCAAAACTGCATGTGTGTTCTTTCATCTTGTTTTTTTTACTGCATTTTGAGTACTTTTCGGTGACAATACACTACCTAGTGTGGTGTTGGAGAGTTGGAGGTATTAGATTCTTTTTGTTGAAGTAAACTAGTTGGGTTAATGAACTACTCCCTCCGTCCCCTAACAATGGGACAAGAGGGAGTGACACACAAATCAATAAAAATTGTTTTAAGATGTTGATATTGATTTGATAAAGTAAGAATGATTTAGAGCCACACAAATTTTACCAAATTTGATATGAGACAATCTTAGTGGGACGTACCGCAAAGTTAAAATAGGACATTCTAAACGAGACGGAGGGAGTATCATATTAAATCTCATATTATTGCTTGATGAAACTCTGAGTCTTAGAGCCCATTTGTTAGAACTGAAATTGGCTGAATCGGCTTATTTTGTTGAAATTAATGAAGTTCTGGCTAAAGTATCTACATTGGCTGATTCTGCTTATTTATGAAAAAATTATATTTATAATATTTTTTATTAATAAAATAAAGAAAAAATTATATGAAGAAATAACTAAAATGATCACCTACACCAACTTCAGCCTACACAGCCAGTGAGGCAGAAAAGTAACTCCAACCTTACTTTTTTCTTATTATTACACAATTCAGCGCGTGAAATCAAAAGTTACGTGTTTGATGGAAAAAATTGGCTGATAAGCTAAAAAGCAGTGCCACCAAACAGGCTCTTAATATGATGGCGGTGTTTGGCAATTAGTTGTTGGTTGATAGCAGTTTCTGTTAGCTGATTGATGACAGCTGATTTAGTTGGCTGTTTTGATCAACTGATAGTATTAGCTGTTTGTAAAATGGTGTTTGGTTAAATGGCTGTTTAAATTCAGCTGAAAATTCATAAAATGACTTGTAAGGAAATAATTTTTTTATTGGTTGCATAGCATGTTATACTTTTTAAATATGATGATACAAAATTACAACTATTATAAATATTTAAATTATATTTTTAACGGGTATTGTCATTGATGTTATTATAATGTACGACTACTTAGACCATTATTATTTACTATTTTCTCCGTCGAAAATTGAATTGTAAATTTGACTTTTTTTTGGATCAAACAATGTCATTTTATTCACTTAATTAGAATATCAATTCTTAATTAATTTTTAATTTGAATTTTGCAACTTTATTGAGATTTAATGTAGTTTCTAAATATGTAAATTTTAATTATTAAAATTAAACTAATTATTAATAGGCAGGATATAGATTTAACAATGGTTGACCAAAAAATGTTGACTTTGCCAAACAAATTGGGATAGAGGTAGTACGTATTAAAAAATGATAATTGCAAATAACAAGTCTTTCAAAATTTTCATGTTTTTTTATATTTATTAATAAATAGTTATATTAACTTAAGTTCTGTTAAGAATTGTTGTCTAACAAAAAAGAATCATGTTATAGTGTAGTACGTAAGAAAAGGGAAAACATTTGGGATGGTTCCCGGTGTAATTTTTCAATGAAATTTTTGAAGATCTTATTCATTAAGTCTAGTTTACTCACACCAATTTTCAGCTAAAACTTCAATCGGGAAGACATTCAAATAAATTCTTGAAGATAAGTGTGCAGTTAAAAGTGCAGTTATCTTCTAGAATTTATTTGAATGCCTTCCCAATTGAAGTTCTATCTGAAATTTGATATGAGTAAACTAGACTTAATGAATAAGATGGTTAAAAAAAATCATCGAAAAATTTCACCGGGAACTATCCCAAATGGCGTCGTCTGGACATAACCTCCTATATAAGGCCTTATTTGACATTTTTTTGTAAGTTCGAGGCCCTATCTGACCCTTTTCTCGTAAGAAAATAATGTGAGCAGGAAAGGCAAAGGACTACGGAGTATAATAATTTAAGGCCCCGTAAAATATTTACGGGAAGAAAAATAAATAGGTAGATCAGGAATATTGTGGAAAGGCCAAACCTAAAAGCTATATTTCTTAGCTTTTTCAATTTTAGCTGTTTGGGATAAAAAGACACATGAAAAGGCTATTTAACCAAACACACTATTAGCTGATGAATCTAGTCAAAAAGCCAAATCATGGTCAAAACAGCCAAAAATTGGCTGATCCGCCACCAACCAAATACCCCCGATACTACTTTCATCCCACTAACATTGAGATATGAGGAGATGATGTGGTTATTAAAAAAATGAGTTTATGTAGTTGATATTAAATTGATAAAGTAAAAATAAAATAAGAAGAATTTAGAACTAAACAAATTTTACCATATTTTGTGTGAGACAATTTTGATGAGATGAATCGGGGAAAAAATGAAACAATCTTAATTTGTTTCAAAGATCCATGGGTCCTTATGACTTAGGGGACTTAATTTGTTTTTCCTGTTATTCTAGTCAAGAGTAGGGATGGCCCAAAGCGGTTCGGCCCGGCCCTGAACCGGCCCGGCCTGCTACTGTGCGGGCCCGACCCGGCCCGGGTGACGGAATGGCGGTTCGGGCTTTGAACTAGCCCGATCGGGTAGGGCAGTTCGGGCACGGGCCTATATTTATGTGAACCGGCCCAGACGATTCGGGCCCGGTCCGGGCCTAACGGCTTTATTAAAAAAAATAAGCAAGCCAAACAGGCCTTATAGTCGTTGCCCACCAACCCAAACGGCTCTATAGCCGTTAAGAGGCTCCCTGGGGGTCCCGGGTTGGGGTGGGGTGGTGTACAAAAAATCTATAAATAGTCCATTTTTTCTATACAATTTACTACACATCTTTTCCAAATACTCCTACTCTCTAATCTCTATTCTCTAATAATTTTTTCCATCTTCATCTTCTCAAATTAATAACTACATATATTATATTTATAAAATTTATTATCTACTTATTATCTACTTTAAACATAGTTAATATGTAATTATTATATTATTTTTGGGAAAAGGGTCAGATAGAGCTTCGAACTTACAAAAAAATATCAAATAAGGCCTAATATAGGAGATTCTGTCCGGGCGATGGCATTTGGGGTGATTCCCGGTGAAATTTTTCGATTCAATTTTTGAGCATCTTATTCTTTAAGTCTAGTTTACTCATATCAAATTTCAGCTAAAACTTCAATCGGGAAGGCATTCAAATAAATTCTTGAAGATAAGTGCGCAGTTAAAAGCGCAGTTATCTTCAAGAATTTATTTGAATGCCTTCCTGATTGAAGTTTTAGCTGAAAATTGGTATGAGTAAACTAGACTTAATGAATAAGATGCTCAAAAAGTTTCACCAAAAAGTCCACCGGGAACCACCCCAAATGGTGTCGGCCGGACAGAATCTTCTATATAAGGCTTTATTTGACATTTTTTTGTAAGTTTGAGGCCCTATCTGACCCTTTTCTTTATTATTGTTATTTACTTATATTTACATATTACATATACTTAATATATACTTATATATATATATATATTAAAGTATGAAATATAAGTGTATTACTCATCTTATAGTAATATAATTATATTATATATACTATAAACATAATATTATATATTACCTAAACAATTACTCCATATTATATCTACTTATACACTTATTATCTACTTATATATATATATATATATATATATATATATATATATATATATATAAATATATATAAAGTGTATCAACTTATACACTTATTATCTACTTATCCCATTACTTATACACTCACACTCCCATTAATTTAGTTTACACACTCATACATTCTTTATTAATATAAAACTAGTTAATTGTTTCACTTATCATATTAGTATTAGTTCATTGCTATAAAAGTAGTTAATTGTTAGTTGTTAGTTTATTGGAAATAGTTACATTAAAAAGAAAGTAGTTACATTTTACTTCCAAAAAAAGTTGTTAGACAATAATTTGAAGTTAATTGTTTAATTGTTAAACTAGTTAATTGTTACATAGTTTATTCTCCTATAAAACTAGTTACTTGTTTAATTGTTAAACTAGTTAATTGTTACATTTCTTATTCTCCTATAAAACTAGTTAATTGTTACATTTCTTATCCTCCTATAAATTAGTTAATTGTTACATTTCTTATTCTCCTATAAAACTAGTTAATTGTTTAATTGTTAAACTAGTTAATTGTTATTTTTTATATTAAAGTTGTTCGAATTTTATAATAAAAGTAGTTAAACTTGTTAAATTTTTATTTCTTTATTTTTTGTTGCAAAATAGTTAGAATTTAATTAAACTTGTTAATTAGTTGCATTGTAACATTTTCTCATTTTTTAATTGTATTTCAAATTTTTAGATTTGTATTTCAAATTAGCTAGTTTAATTGTACTTCGAATTTAATATTTGTTATATTTTAAGATGGAACTTACGGATAAAATCAGTATATTATAAGGGTGTAGAAATATGGCTGGACCGGATATCACTTCTAGTCACGTATTAAATACGCTTTCCTAAAAGTTTACTATCTACCCTTATCACAGTAACCGGGTTGCAAGATAGAACTTTTGGGATAAAAAGAAGGTGTATGATGTATTTTAGCTACTGATAAAATAACACCGGACAAGTGATTTGTAAACAAAGTGGTCTAAACACTTTATTACTAATACTGCAGATAAAAGTAATATAGTAAGGCAATTAGAGAAGGATGACAAAATTGATTTTTACGTTCTTACTTTAATTCACATGGTCTAGCAAAATTTATATGTGAATGGTGACTTTTTGAAAGGAGGCAAAAAGCAACCAGTGATAAAACCTGTTTGAAAAGGTGCGGCATTTCAAATGGCTAAGAACAACCATTAAAATAATTTTTAAAGGTGCGACAACTGAAAGGATAAGTACATCCTTTAAAATAATTTTATATACAAATAAAAGAAAAACAACACACCTTTAAAACAGCCAGCCGCATAGCGGCAACAACAAAATTAAACTTAAAAGTACGGAGTATTAAAGTGATAGCCAAATACAATCATGTAATATTATTACTAATATTATAAAATCATACTACCAAAAGTATAACTGTAGTAATCATAATATTAAATAATAACTATTACATCATATATACTCCGTATTCCTTTTGCAACAAAAATGTTAATTGACCATGTAAAATAATAATTGAGCTTTATTTTCCAATAAATCTTCAACAATCCTCCTCCATTTATTGAAAAATAAACATGCTCAATTCTTGCCAAATAGACCACTTATCAAGACTTATGAATAATCCTCTTGATTAGTTATCCAACTTGCATCC